TCCATGAGACACACAGACAGGGAGAGAAGCTGGGGGTCAGAGCGCAGGGTCAGCCATTTATACAGCATCCCTAGAGCAGTTGGGGTTAAGGGACTTGCTCTGGGGCCCAATGGAGTAGGATTCCTCTGCCAGCCACAGGATACGAACCGGCAACCTTCCAGCCACAGGCACCGATCCTTAGCTACCGTGCCACTGCCCCACCCTGAAAGACTCTCAGCATCCCTGGGTGGGTTCGAACCACAAACCTTTCAGTTAACAGCCAAACGCACTAACCGATTGCACCGCAGAGACTCGGAGACTGTGGGAGAAAACTGGAGTGCTGGGAGGAATCCCACATGAACACAGGGAGAATATACGAACTCCAGGAATATATGCACGTCCACAATGGAACCCAGGGTTCCCGTGCTGGAAGGCAGCAATTATACTGTACTGAATTATACTATAATATCACAATAAAGGACAAGCCCTCTTGAGGGCTCTCACTACAAACAAGCCATGGGCGAATTAGGTGACTTCTTTTCTCAAGATTTCATGTTTTGGATTTTTTACCTTAGCAATATTCAATTTCCTACAGTTCTGAAATTAACAGACAGAAAAGCAGAAGGTTAAAGCAGAAATGTACCAAACTTTCTGGTATCTTACATCCCTGGACATAAAGATTACAAATGAGAGGAGGTCATTCAGCCTCTCTTGCCCACTTGGTACTTAATAACAAATTGATCCCAGGATCTCATCCAGTTATTTCTTGATCGAAACCAGTGTATAAGCTTTAGCGACTTAGCTAGGCAGCTTGTTCCACACTCCCACAGCCATTTGTGTACACAAGTAAATAAATAATCCTTACACTTACTGTATGTACTGTAGAGCTTTTCTTCACACTCCACTCAAAGCACTTTACAGGTGATTGGGACTAGACCTCCACCAGCACCATTGTGTAGCCCCACCTGGATATTTCATTGAAATTCTATTCAATTCTATTCCATCTTTAAATTGGCTTCATGACTCGCTCACCTCCCTACTGAGAGCTGGTGTGTGGGGAGCGTTCTGGTGCTCTATGGCTGCCGTTGCTTCATCCAGGTGGGGCTGCACACTGGTGGTGGTGGAGGGGATCCCCATTACCTGTAAAACACTTTGAGTGGAGTGTCCAGAAAAGCGCTATATAAGTTTAAGCAATTATTATTATTATTATTATTTCAGAAAGCTTTATTCATCCCTGGAGGGCAATTTGAGACTAATTACGATTAAAATAAATACATTTTAGATTAATTAGGAGGACAATTAATGATGTGATGGCAGCCAAAATGCACTAGTATGTTCACCTTTGTCAGTTATCAGTGGGGAAGAGAGCAGAGTGATGAAGCCAATTCAGAGATGGGGATTATTAGGAGGCCATGGCTGGTAAAGGCCAGGGAGAAATGTGGCCAGGACTGGGGTAATACCCATTCTCTATTCAGATTTTTAATGAGCACAGAGAATGAGGACCTCAATTTTACATCTCATCTGAAGGACCGTGCTTTTTATACAGTGCAGTGTCCCCATCACTATACTGGGGCATTAGGACCGACACAGACCACAGGGTGAGCGCCCCCTGCTGGCCCCACTAACACCTCTTCCCACAGCAACATTGGCTTTCCCAGGAGGTCTCCCATCCAGGTACTGACCAGGCTCATCCTGCTAAGCTTCAGTGGGCTGCCAGCTGTGAGCTGTGAGCTGCAGGGTGATATGGGTGATATGGCTAATGGCCTCCTGAAAGCAGTTCCTCCTGGTCTCAGTTTTAAATGCACCGCTGGTGCCACCTGGTTCATGTTTCACTGTTCATTCTGAACAAAGCGGGCAGTGAAATGTCAAAACGTTAAACTCTGCATCTTTATAGAAAGTGTCACAGTCCTAAGCCAGTCTGGTGAAAATGGCATTTCTTCTTCAGCTTGAAGGAGATGATACTGGAGACTTCGAGGCCACCTCAGCTGCAGCTTTCCTGCTGTCCTCGGAAACTAACAGGACCGTATACATCGCAGTGAAGGACGATGAGCTGCCAGAAGCTGATGAGACTTTCGTCTTCTCCCTTAGGCTGCAGGTAAACCCCTGTCTCTAATACCTCCATGTGCTTGTTTATGACAGGATATGGGTAGACTGTATACTAATTCTGAATTTGTTTTCATTCTTGTCTTTTTAGGTGTCATAATTGCACTTTTAGTCCACATTTAATATTATTCCAAAAATTATTTGTTTTAGAATGTGTGAATTATTTCATGGGTTAATGTGTTTTATGAATAGATTAACAGATTGGTGCATTAGTCACACCTATTACCTGTTACAAATGCTTAAATCAAAATGTTTTAAATTTGTTGTACTGTAAATGTTTCACTTGTTCTAAAGGAGACAGAAGTTTACTTCACACAGTTGTAATAAACTGGTTTACAATTTAAAAAAGTAGCCAGGAGAGCACAGATCATTGCTGTGTGATGGTTCTATTCAGTTCTATTTTAAATTTTTTGGGGGATGTTTTAGTTTAGATTTTATATTGGTTTCATTGCATACAGATTTGTCTTAAGTGCACATAAAGGGTCTTTAGCACAGAGATCTTTGTTTCTTTGTGACGTCGTTTCCAGATTTTGTTTCTCAGCTCTGTCTCTGTTTTACAGACACCATGTCTCACAAAGTTCACTGTTGGCCCAATGTTTAAACATGCGCCTAAAAGAGAAGTATAGTCCACACATTTCTAGTTGCTTTTATAACTTTCCATTCATAAAGGTCTTTCAGATCTAGACGCATGGCTCTTTGATGTTCCCTGAAACTTTTCCCTCTGAAGCCTTACTGTTTCTGGAACAGCCAATGCTAAAAGACACCTTTGTAGGCAAGATCATGTAACACCAGCATCAGAAAAGGCTGACAGAACATTAAATTAAACTAAAATAATAAACAGAGACTTATGGAGGTCAAAGCTGTTTCTCAAAAAATGTTTTTCAGA